GCCATCCAACCAGCCTAAATGTGCAGGGTATTCTTGATTTCGGTTTTGGTTTCTTCTCCTAGGCTAGGTGGCAAGGCCCAGTGATTCTCTTTACTCTCCCCTTCCTCCAGGGCTGGGGCTACAGGTTCATGGGCACACCTGGCTTTTTACATGGATATTGGGGATCCGAAGTCAGATCCTCATGCTTGTATAGCAAGAGCTCTTACCCACTGAGCTACTACCCCAATCCCTAAGATTTTTCTTAATTCCAAGCTCACATTTTACCTGATTTAGATTTAATGGCCACCGGGGATTCTAAACCACCAGGGGAAATATCAAGAATTTTGACCAGCATTCTTACAGTGTAAAACTTGATTAATTCTGGGTGTACCCTGCTCAAACAATTATGCATTTCAAATCACTATACAGTTAGATTGCATGCTTTCTATGAATGGGTGGGATGTTATAAAACGAAGTCAATCATGTAAAGAAAGGAAGAGGAAGTCCTTCCTGTTAAACAGGGAAAGCGGCTTTCCAATGCATCCTCATCCTCAACACACACACACACACACACACACACACACACACACACACGAGTGTGACTTTGGCATGGAGAGAGACGGTTGCAGGTGGATAGATGAACTGATGTAGTCATTGCAAATCAGTGTGGCAGCTGTCAGAGGCCATGCATCTCTAGTGGGAAGAGTTCTGATCCAGGTAATGGCTTAGAGCCCTGTGTGCTCTATGCACAATGACCACAGCCAGCTGGTCAACAACGAGTGATTGCCCCCAAATCTGTGACATTTATCCTTGAAATTAACAACTTAAGAAGCATAAGTAAAGTCTGTCTGCCACTTGCTGTACATCAGGTTGTGGTAATAAAATTTTACTTGTTTTACCCACTGGAATCCCCAAACCAAAAAGAGAATGGTGTTTGGAGAGGGGAAAACAAATGGGGGATGGAGGGGGAGATGACTCACTTAGAAGTAAAGCTGGAGGAGGGGTGAAAATGTGAGAAAGGAACTGAACTGGCTTGCAGGAGGTGCCATTACCCTTCACTATCCTTGGGGCTGACACTGGTGAGACCATTTTCAGTGGGCTATAGATCTAAGTTTTGAAGTCTCCTTCTACCCTTCCTAATTCTTGGGGCTATTGACAATGTCTGTGTTGTACTGCAATTTCCTCCTAATTAAAATATTCCCTGCAGGAAGGAGGGAGGAGGCCCATGAGGCTCAGGAAGTAAAGAAACTTCACATGTCAGAGAAAACCCAAACCTACGGAATCCCAGAGGACCCCTCCCCAAATGTCTAGAAACAGTCAACAGCTGCAGGGAGAGGAGACTCGGAGCGGCAGAGCAGCCTGGAGGAAGCAGAGCTGCCCAGAGGAGATCTCTGAAGTGTCCAGCTGCCTGCAAGTCCTGTGGAAAGCTCCAGGGATGCAGCTTTCATGAGTCATTACCCATGCTGGGGTGGGCTTTTTGGTAATGCAGCTCCCTTTGAGTCGCCCATGCTCCTGTGAGTAACCCCTCACCCATATTCCTGTAAGTAACTCCAATAAACTCATTGGTTCACTGAGTTGGGACTTTGGTGTAATTGTTTCTTTGGTCTGTGTGGGTTCCCTGTCTGCACTGAGTGCATGCCTGTCACCAGTAAAAGTGTTGCACAATCAGTTACAGGAGGATAGAACGTGGTTGAAACAATGTAAGGAATGGTGATGGCAAGGCTTAGTGAGAGGGTGCCAAGATCTCTTGGGGATTTATAGGACACTGGCATGACTTTAATTCATGTGGTTTATCCCTTGCAATCCTCATCCCCCAAATATCGTCACACTTGGAGATTAAGAACAAAACAAAATGAGAAGCACAGAAATGTTAAGACATTCAACTAAAGTCACACAGTATGTTGGTTATGAACTTGTAGCTGCTTTTGATAGTGAGACAGGATCACACTATGCCCTTGTCCTCACTGCCTAGAGCTTATAGAGATACTCCTGCCTTTCTCCCAGGTGATGAGATTGCCACACCTAGCTGGAATTCGAACTGAATCCAGATGATGTAATTTAGGGTTCACGTTTCTACCTTCTAATGTGACATAATATAGTATAAGTCTTGATATTAACATCTATCGTGATACAAGATAGATGCTTGTATCATAGTATCCCATAGCAACCACAAATCTATATAGCACATGTGGAGTTTCCATTTATTTTGTTTTTAAAAAGATTTTATTTTTATTTTATGTAAATGAATGTTCTGCCTGCATGTATATAAGTATACCACATGTGTGTAGTCCCCACAGAAGAGGATGTCAGATCCCCTGGAACTGGAGTTAACAGACTGTTATGAGCCACCATGTGTGTGTTGGGCACTGAACCCAGGTCCTCTGCAAAAGCAGCGAGAACTCAATGCTGAGACATCCTTCTAGCCCCATGAGTTTGATTTTAATTAATTATTACTTTTTGGTCCTTTTCAGACAGAGTCTCCCTGTAGTCCTGATTGGTACAGAACTCGCTATGTAGACTAGGATGACCTTGATCTCACAGAGATCTGCCTGCCTCTGCCTCACAAGTGCTGGGATTAAAAGTGTGCACCATCATGCCAAGATAATTATTTTTTGAAACAAATTTTCATGTAGCTCAGGATAGACTTGACTAGCTATATGGCTGAAGTTGGCCTTGAACTCCCAATCTTCCTGCCTGTACCTCCCACGAGCTTGGGTTATCGGCATGCATTAGCATGTATGCATGTGTGTGTGTTCATATGTGTGTGGACGCACATGTGTTTGCAGGTATGTGTGCACATATGTGTGTTTATTGCTGGAGTTTAGATTTTTATGCTTCTCTTCCTCCATTCTTCCCATCACAAAGACAATAACCATTTTGGAGAGGTTAACCTCCATCTGACATTATTTGAAGGTCAGTGGTTCTATTGGTAGCCCTCTGAGGCTCCTGCTGTCCTAGATAGAGTTTACAGCCAGTGAGGAAAGCCAGTTCACAAGCAGAAATGAGAAGATGGTGCCGAGTGCAAAGGCAAAGCTAAGACAGGATGCTCTGGTGCCCAGTGACGGAGGGATCGACGGGCCCTTTCCTCCAACCAGTTACATAGTGAGCACATGTGGTGTGTTAGCCTGTGTCTGCCCATGGAGACAGCTGTCAACTTGGAACCCCTCACTCTAGATTCCTGACTGCTGGTGTGGCCATGGCAGAGCCCAATCTCCAGAGCCGTCTGCTTAAAAAACACTATCTCCGCTCTGGTCATCTGTAACTCCTTTCCTGATGTCAGGAAACCACTGGGCCCCCAGCCAGGCAGGTCTAAAGGGAACAATGACTGTTATAGCACAGCCCTGAGGTTTTACAAGATGCAAAGGTTGCAGAAGAGAAAGGGAAGGAGGTAGGGAAGGATCAGAACAGGATTTGGCTGTGACCACGGTATTTATTTAAGCACTAGGCATTTATTATCTAACATCATATCTGCAGTTAGGCATCTGCCTTCTCTCTTGGGGAGCCAATGCGGGGAATGGAGCTTATGGTGAAGTGTGGAGGTGATGGTTGATGCAAGCAAGGGTTTGGAGACTGTGCAGAAAGTACAACTTTGGAGAAAAGTAGCAAAATTATGGATTCTTTCCCCCTGGAGAGAAGTTGTTTTCTGCTGTTTGGTTTCCTCCAAATGGAAGAGGAGAATGCACCTCACCATAGGGACCTGAGGGCTCCAGGAGGCTCAGGTAGTTAGACACTGCCACAACCTTTCTGTGCCCTTTGTCACTAGGGCGGGGTGGTGTGTGTGTGTGTGTGTGCGCGCGCGCGTGCGTGTGTGCATGTGTGTGTGTGTGCGCATGCATGCGTGTGTGTGTGTGTGTCTGTCTGTCTCTCTCTGTCTGTGTGACTTCCTACTTGCATTTCAGACTGGCAATTTGTACTAAGAGAAAGTACTTTAAAAAATACCTCTGAGAAGACTGATAAAGCTAACAGCTGAGGTGACACTCCCCTAGAAATAAGGTCCAGCTCAGAAAACAGCTAAATCCAAGAGCTCCACCAGGACCCTGAAACACAAGCTGCCTTCACATACTGGAACCCATACTGGGCTTACAGAAGGCCTACAGAACCACAGCAAACCAACCACAGTGCCACACTTCACAGGAGCTTTTGATATTGGGGTGAGCTCTTGAAGTAGAATAGTTAATGATCTGGCTCTGCCCATAACGCTGGCCTGAAACAGAAAGGTCGGACACAGACTACTAATGAGTGGAACAAGACTGCACGTGACAGTCGGCTGTCTCACCTACAACTCTGGGAGGAGTGTCATCAGAGAGAGAGAGAGAGAGAGAGAGAGAGAGAGAGAGAGAGAGAGAAACAAGAGAGTAGGGGGGAAAACCCCCACTCAAGGAAGTTCAACTTAAAGTAGCAAAGCTCTTGGGAAAGAGAAGCGAAGAACTCCTACCATAGTGTAGACCACTGCAAACATTCTTATTTAACTCTTTCAATAAGCAGAAGATGCTGCATTCAGCACCAAATACTTGTGGCCATATCCATGGAGCATTTCAACCACTGTATTATCATTTCAATATCTTATGCACAGTTATAATTTTTCAATTTTATTTTACTTTTCTCTTGTGAGGAAATAGACTGCAGGGGACTGTGTGTGTGGCGGGGGGAAGCCTGCTAAGAAAACCTAAAAGGGTTGTGGATTTTTAATACCTTGGGAACCTCCAGAGCTTACATGGACCCGAGCAATTATGTTTGCTCCGAGTGTATTCGGGTAGCAGCAGCTCTATCGCCAGGGCCTACATCATTTTTTCTTAGCATCCTGTGGTTTGATTCTGAACCTAAGGAAACGAATGTTGTTTCCTTCCTGGTCATGCCTTTAGCACCGTCTGCCACAGTCTCTTATCTCTCTAGAATCAGCAGGAAGTTTGAGTGCTCCAGTCCCAATAAAGTGATATGGAGAATTAAATGGAAAACTAGAAAGAAATACACATAGTGTCCGTGCTAGCTCCTGGGCCTGTGGACAGTGTCAAGTCTCTTACCTTTATCATAGATTTCCTTCAGGACCCCTCGCTTGATCAGTTCCTCTCTGCTCTGCCGCATTGATATCTTCCTTTCCAGGGCTGCAAGCAACAGACAGGCAGGTTTCAGTGGGAAACAGCTCAGCAGTAGCCTCCCCAACACCCACCAAAGGAACCTTGTGCAAATAGGTACTCTACTGTAAAACATATATGAAAGATTCCATGAATTATGTTTTGTTTATGGTAAACGAATGACACCAGTTAAGATTTTAATGCTCTGATAAGCTTTTTAACCAGGTTATTTTAACTCTTCAAAAATAATCTTCAAGGTATTTATAAGACATAGATTTATTGGATTTGATTGATGATTTTTGACTCTAACATGGTGGAGGATGCCATAGCATGGAAAAGCTCAGTGTTTTGTCAGACACGTGGCTATTGAATAAAGGAACCAGGACTCAGATCCAGACATACAGTGTCTGTTCAGGGTTTCACCTCTGGGTCAGACACATCCCTGAGTGTGGGAGATCCTGGCAGGGACGGCTGGCGTTTCAAAGACTTGGTTCAAAGGACTTCCTTGATTTCCAACAGTTTTTTTTTTTTTTTTAAATTCAAGCAGTGCAAATATCTCTTGAGAAGCACTCTCTACTGGCAAAGTCCCATCAGGGGGCTACCTGAGGGGTGGTGGGTGACCTCCAGGGAGGATCCCTGGTCCAACTCTCCACGTGGCTCCACATGGAATTGGCCACGTGAGGAATGAACTATTCCCAAGCCAGGTGCTCATCCAGCTGAGCCAGATGCATGGCAGATGGGGCTAGGGAGGCAGAGGGAGTTTTCCTCTGGGAACAGTGGGTGTGATGAGGGCCAGTGAAGCGGAAGGGGAATGCAGGGGTGGAGAAGTGGCAGGGCACAAAGGGCCCACAGGAAGGACGCTGGAGCCTGTGGAGAGAAAGTTGCTTTAGCACCTGTGGTCTATGGTAAACACTTGTAGGGAGGGAGTGAGGAGCTATTTCAGTTGCTTTTGTCAGCCTGACTTAGGGGAAAAGATGGTTGTTACAAAATAAGGAAAGTCTTTTATGCAAACTTACATGTACATTAATTAGGCGTATGCACATACACATCTTAACAGAATTTCGAATGAGAACTAGAAGTTAAGAATTGAAACCTGCGTGGCGATTCACCAGCAGCTCTGGGACTGCAGTGAGTCATTGTGTTGGTCTGGGAAAACAGACGCTTCACTTCACCTATCCTGATTTCACAGGTCCTGGGTGGGACTGGGACACCGTGACTGTGCTAAACAGCTCTCTGGTTGCTGTCAGGCACAGCTAGACTGGCAATCTCTAAGTGTGTGGGGGACGCATTTGTCTAGCATGCATACTGCTCTGGTTTCCATCCTCAACACTGTAAAACAAATCAAGGTAGACTTTACATAACACATACACTACTTTAAGTGAGAAAATATCTTTCCTCCATCTACCTTCAATTTCCAAGTTAGGCTGACATTCAAGAAAGAGTTGGCTTATTTATCCTATGACTTTGTTTATTTGTTGGTTGAGAACTCTGTGTTCACAATGAATTTGTACACATCATTTGAGAGGGGAAGGGTAGAACTTTAATGTTCTTTAATTTAATCCCCACCACATTCATGTGAGGTAGTATCATTCCCATTTTATAGATGAGGTGCCCGAGGCCCCAACATTAAATTTATCAGAATCACAAAAAAGAATGTGGAAGAGCAGAAAGACATCTTACTGGTTCTGTCATTCCTCTTGACACCATCTTGTTGTTATGTGGCAAGTGAAGACAGTAAGGCTCTAACAAGAGGAGGCAAGTGAGTTTTTCCTTTTAATCTCGCGTGCGTGCGCGCATATGTGTGTGTGTGTGTGTGTGTGTGTGTGTGTGTGTGTATGCGTATGCGTGCTATGCCGAGAGCATGGAGGTCAGAGGATAACCCTCAAGTGTCAGTCCTTGCCTTCCATCTTTTAAAAAAAAATTTTATTATTTTTATTTTTCAAGTGCATGAGTGTATTGCCTGCATATATGTAAGTTCACCCATGTCGTGCAATGCCTGAGGAGATCAGAAGAGGGTGTCAGATCTCCTAGAACTGGAGTTATGGATGATTGTTAGCTGCCATGTAGGTACTGGGAATTGAAAGCTGGGTACTCTGCAAGAGCAGCCAGTGCTCTTAACTGCTGATCCATCTCTCCAGCCCCACCTTTCATCTTATTTGAGGTTTGCCTCTATGTACTATAGGCTAGCTGGTCCATGAGCTTCCAGGAATTCTCCTGGCCCTGCCGCCCATCTTGCTATAGAAATGCTAGGATTACAGCTCTACATAGGTTCTGGAGATCTCACTGTGTGGCAAGCATGTCACCTACTAAGTTATCTCTCCATACCAGAAGGCAAGTTTACAGGAAGTGATATCATTAGGTTATTCTTAGTTGCTTCTTCCTTCCAAGATGCTATTTTCCTACTATCTCTTTTCACAAAGATATACACAATGCTTCTCCTCTGTTGATCAGCTGTCCAGTCAGTGCTGCTATTCTTAACCAAGGCTAAAGTCAAGCTCATCAATAAACCAGAAGTGAAGATCGCTGGCTGGTGCAGGAGAACCCTCCAGCCATGTGACCTGGTTTACTACTGAACTGTAAAATGGGGTCATGGGATTAATGAAGAGAAAAAGAAACAGGATGGCTTTCTTTCCCTCCATCAGGGCTATAGCCCAGCCTTCCTTGTTGAGTAATGTTGGCTTGGGGTAGAGCAAAGACAGTGGGGAAGAACAGTATAAAGTGTAGTAACGTTGTAAAGTATACAACGCTTGCCTAAAGGAGAGGGAGAATGAGGCCAGTGGGGTAAAGAGAGCTGAGTCAGGGGACAGTCTGTCTGCCTGGGGTGGCTTGGTCCTTGCGAAATAGGAAATGCAAGTAAATAGAACAGAACCAATGAAATGAAGTAAAATGAAAATCTGTATTGTTAGCTGTGTGGCAAAAGATGCTAACAGGTATTATTGAAACAGGGAGAAAGAGGGTCCCCTAGAGGGTTCTTAGTCTCATTCATAAAAGAATTTGAGAATGGACCCAAATGGAAGCTTTTACAATTTTATTAGAATCTTAAAGAAAAATCCTCACAGCAGGCAAGCTGGCCATCTTGGCAGCCGCCCTGAGGAGGTGGATAGTGGGAAGAAGGAAAGAAAGCCATGGAGCCATGAAGGTTTAGAGCCTGCATAGAGGTCAGACACGTGGCTGACTCACAGGCACATGGCTGGGAGAAGGAAGCTTTAGAGAAAAAGTGAAGAACTGCAAGATGCTAGGGGCAGCCCGAAGCCTTAAAGAAAGCACGTTTAGTAAGAAAAGCATGAAGAAGAAAAGGAGAAATTATGCTTTCCTGAACAGTTCGGGAAAGTGGACAGACTTACGGAGACCTACATGGCTGTGGCTGGTCTGGAAGTTCTGTGGGGCCCTGAGCTAGTTCCAGGCAGAAATATTCGCTACTTAATCAACACACCAGGTATTCCGCCCATCTATATAGCATGACCTGCCTTCCCGGGAGTGGTTCTATCACCAGGTAATTGACCAGTGAGACTGGAAAAATGGGTCCTCCAACAGATAGACTAGACATTTTTATAGTCTGGACCAGTTAATATATGGGGCTTATTGATACTCTATTGTTATTTATACCTTTACTGATTTGAGAATTTTACACAATGTATTTTGGTCACATTCGGACGTCCCTCTTCCCTCTCCACCTCCATCTTGTATTCCACATGCCCGACTCCTCGTCCTTTCTTATTATTTGTCCTTTTATTTTTAAAGGCCTATTGAGTCCAATGTGTGTTTCTTAAGGTCTCTTGGATGTGGGGTCTATCCCTTGGAGTCTGGTCAACCTACCACACATCACACCAGTAAGAAAAATGGACTCTCCCTCTCCAGTGTCTATCGGTTGCCAATAGATCCTCAGCTAGAGCTGGGGCTTCCTGCCCACCTCCCCCATCCATATTGGGCACTTGTCCGGCTTGGGTTTACACAGGTCTTGTGCATGCTGTCATAAGTGTTGCAGGTTCATATGTGCAACTACTTTGTGGTATCCAGCCAAGAGTGTTCTTGTATTCATCTACCACCTTTGGCTCTTAATAATCTTTCCGCTCTCTTTTTTGTAATGATCCCTGAGTCTTGGGAGATACAGGTGTCCCGTTTAGGGTTGAGCACCCTGAAGTCTTTTATTCTCTACACATTGACCAGTTATGATTTTTTAAATATATATTAAAGAAAAATAAAATCAATATGGACTTACTTTAAAACAAGACAAATCCTTAAAATTTAGGAATCATTTTAATATTGTGCAGTTTTCAGAGCACAGGGCAGGATAAATCTGATAGATGATTTGGTGAAAATATTTTGGTTATAAAATTAGATTGAGGCTATTAAAATCATGCAGTTTTACAGTTACAATGGCTTGATTTTCACAAGTGATTCATTTTATGAAATGCTGGGGACTGAACATGGGGGTCTCAGGTATGTTAGGCAAGAGCTGCATCACTGAGCTACACTTTTGGCCCTCTTCACTTTTTAAAAATTTGAGACGAGATCTGTCTAAGTTGCCCAGGCTGGCCTTGAATTCACTCTGTAGCCCAGGCAGGCCCTGAACTTGCAATCCTCCTGCTTGAGCTTCCCAAGTAGCTGGAATTTCAGGCCTTTACCACTAGGACAGGTTCAAGGTGATTTGTCTTTTCTTTTTATGTTGTACGTATGTGTATGAGTGGTATGCTTGAGTGTGTGTGTGCACGTGTGCATGTGTGTGTGTGTGCGTGTGTGTGCATGCACAGAGGCCAGGGGAGGATGGTGGGTGCCCCACTCTATTATTCTCTGCCTTACTCCTTTGAGACTGGGGCTCTCACTGAACCTGGAGCGAGGTAGGCTGGGACGAAGCCCCAGCAACCCTCCTGTCTCTGCTCCCCACAGTGCTGGGGTTATACAGGTATGCTCACAGGCATGCCCAGTTTTACACATGAGTTCTGGAATTCAAACTCAGGTCCTTGTGTCTGTGCATCAAGCACCTTTACCCACTGAGCCCTATCTCCAGCCCCTTGAATGGGCATTTTAAA